GCAGGTGTCTGGGGAAATCATTGTCAAACAACAAACTATGATCTAAGCATATGTACCCAAAATTATTTAAAGGCAACCGGGAACGAGGAAACTAGTCAACCACCTGTGCAGTCAAATCGGGCAGGTGTCTGGGGAAATCATTGTCAAACAACAAACTATGATCTAAGCATATGTACCCAAAATTATTTAAAGGCAACCGGGAACGAGGAAACTAGTCAACCACCTGTGCAGTCAAATCGGGCAGGTGTCTGGGGAAATCATTGTCAAACAACAAACTATGATCTAAGCATATGTACCCAAAATTATTTAAAGGCAACCGGGAACGAGGAAACTAGTCAACCACCTGTGCAGTCAAATCGGGCAGGTGTCTGGGGAAATCATTGTCAAACAACAAACTATGATCTAAGCATATGTACCCAAAATTATTTAAAGGCAACCGGGAACGAGGAAACTAGTCAACCACCTGTGCAGTCAAATCGGGCAGGTGTCTGGGGAAATCATTGTCAAACAACAAACTATGATCTAAGCATATGTACCCAAAATTATTTAAAGGCAACCGGGAACGAGGAAACTAGTCAACCACCTGTGCAGTCAAATCGGGCAGGTGTCTGGGGAAATCATTGTCAAACAACAAACTATGATCTAAGCATATGTACCCAAAATTATTTAAAGGCAACCGGGAACGAGGAAACTAGTCAACCACCTGTGCAGTCAAATTGGGCAGGTGGCTAGTGAAATCCTTAACAAACAACTAACTATGATCTAAGCATAGGCATTCGAAAATATTTAAAGGCAACCGGGAATGAGGAAACTGGTCAACCACCTGTGCAGTCAAATCAAACAGGTGGCTGGGGAAATCATGTTCAAACACCTGCGTACTAAGTACAGGTACACAAATATATCTAAAGGCAACCGCGAACGGGAAAATTGGGCAACCACCTGTGCAGTCAAATCAGACAGGTAGCTGGGGAAATAATGTCGGACAACTAACTCTGATCTAAGCATAGGTATCCGAAAATATTTAAAGGCAACCAGGAACGAGGAAACTGGTCAACCACCTGAGCAGTAAAATTGGGCAGGTGGCTGGGGAAATCATTCTCGGACACTTGTGTACTAACTACAGGTACACGCAAATATGTAAAGGCAACCGAGAACGAGAAAACTTGTCAACCACCTGTGCAGTCAAATCGGGCAGGTGGCTGGGGAAATCATTCTCGGACACTTGTGTACTAACTACAGGTACACGCAAATATGTAAAGGCAACCGAGAACGAGAAAACTTGTCAACCACCTGTGCAGTCAAATCGGGCAGGTGGCTGGGGAAATCATTCTCGGACACTTGTGTACTAACTACAGGTACACGCAAATATGTAAAGGCAACCGAGAACGAGAAAACTTGTCAACCACCTGTGCAGTCAAATCGGGCAGGTGGCTGGGGAAATCATTCTCGGACACTTGTGTACTAACTACAGGTACACGCAAATATGTAAAGGCAACCGAGAACGAGAAAACTTGTCAACCACCTGTGCAGTCAAATCGGGCAGGTGGCTGGGGAAATCATTCTCGGACACTTGTGTACTAACTACAGGTACACGCAAATATGTAAAGGCAACCGAGAACGAGAAAACTTGTCAACCACCTGTGCAGTCAAATCGGGCAGATGGCTGCGAAAATCATTGTCGGACAACTAACTATGATCTAAGCATAGGTACCCGTAAATATTTAAAGGCAACTGGGAATGAGGAAACTGGTCAACCACATGTGAAGTCAAATTAGGCACCTAGGGAAATCATTGTCGGACACCTGTGTACTAACTACAGGTACACGCAAATATGTAAAGGGCACCGGGAACGGGGATACTGACCAACTACCTGTGCAGTCAAATCGGGCAGGTGGCTAGGGAAATCATTATCGAACAACTAACTATGATCTACACATATGTACCCGAAAATATTTAAAGTCAACCGTGAGGAAACCAGTCAACCACCTGTGCAGTCAAATCGGGCAAGTGGCTGCAGAAATCATTGACGGACAACTAACTATGATTTAAGCATAGGTACCCGTAAATATTTAAAGGCAACTGGGAATGAGGAAATTGGTCAACCACCTTTGCAGTCAAATTAGGCAGGTGGCAGGGAAAATCATTGTCGGACACCTGTGTACTAATCACAGGTACACGTAAATATGTAAAGGCAACCGGGAATGGAGATACTGACCAACCACTTATGCAGTCAAATCGGGTAGGTGGCTGGGGAAATCATTGTCGGACAACTAACTATGATCTAAGCATTTGTCTCCAAAAATATTTAAAGGCAACCGGGGAACGAGGAAACTAGTCAACCACCTGTGCAGTCAAATTGGGCAGGTGGCGGAGGAATTCATTGTCGGACACCTGCGTACTAACTACAGGTTCACGCAAATATGTAAGGGAAACCGGGAATGGGATACTGGCCAACCACCTGTGCAGTCAAATCGGGCAAGTAGGTGGTGAAATCATTGTCGGACACCTGTGTGCTAAGTATAAGTACACACAAATAGCTAAAGGCAACTAGGAACGAAAAAACTGGCCAACCATATGTAGTCAAATCGAGCAAGTGGCTTAGGAAATCATTGTCGAACACCAGTGTACTAGCACAGGTACACGAAAATATTTAAAGGCAATCAAAAATTGGGGGACGGGCCAGCCACTTGTGCAGTCAAATCGGGCAGGTGGCTTAAGAAATCATTATCGAACACCTATGTACTAAGTACAGGTACACTCAAATATGTAAAGGCAACTGGGAATGGAAAAACTAGCCAACCTTTTGTGTAGTCAAATCGGACAGGTGGCTGGAAAACCATTGTCGGACACCTGTGTATTATGTACAAATACACGAAAATAGATAAAGGCAACGGGAAACAAATAAACTGGCCAACCACCTGTGCAATCAAATCGGGTAGGCGGCCTAGGAAGGAATAGTGAAAATGGCCGACCACTTGTGTAGTCAAATCAAGCAGGTGGCTTAGGAAATCATTGTCGAAAACTAGTGTACTAAGCATAGGTACACGAAAATATTTAAAGGCAATTGGAAACGTAGAAACTGGCCAACCCCCTGTGTAGTCAAATCAGGCAGGTGGCTTTGTAAATCATTTTCGGACAAGTATCTGTGTACTAAGTACAGGTATACAAAAATATTTTAAGACAACTAGGAGCGATGAAACGAGCCAACCACCTGTGCAGTCAAATTAGCTAGGTAGCTGGAGAAATCATTGTTGGACACCTGTGTACAAGTACACGCAAATATCTTAAAGCAACTGGGAACAAGGAAATTGGCCAACCCTTGTGTAGTCAAATCGGGCAGGTGGCTGTCGAAATCATTGCCGATCAAGTAACTGTGTACTAAGCACAGGTACAAGAAAATATTTAAAGGCAACTGAGAATGTGGAAACCGGCCAAAGACCTGTGTAGTCAAATCAGATGTGGCTTTGCAAATCATTGTCGAACAACTAACTTTGTACTAGGCAGAAGTACACCAAAATATGTAAAGGACACTGGGAACGAAGAAACTAGCCAATCGCTTGTGCAGTCAAATCGGGTAGGTGGCTGAGGAGATCATTGTCGAACACCTGTGTACTAAGTACAGGAACACGCAAATATCTATAGAAAACTAGGAACGGGGAAACTGACCAACCACTTGTGCATTCAAATCGGGTTGGTGGCTGGGGAAATCTTGGTCATACAACTGTATACTAAGCACAAGTACACGCAAATATTTAAAGGCAAATGGGAACGGAAAAACTGACCAACCACCTGTGCCATCAAATCGAACAGGTGGCTTTGGAAATCATTGTCGGAGAACTAATTATGTACTAAGCACAGGTACATGAAAATATTTAAAGGCAACTAGGAACGGGAAAACTGGCCAACCACTTCGGGCAGGTGGCTGGCGAAATCATTTTTGGACACCAGTGTACTAAGTACAGGTACATGCAGATATCTAAAAGCAACTGGGAACAGGGAAACTAGTCAAGCAGCTGTGCATTCAAATCGATCAGGTGGCTGAGGAAATCTTGGTCGGACAACTGTGTACTAGGCACAGGTGCACGCAAATATCTAAATGCAATTGGGAACGGGAAAACTAGCTAACTACCTTTGCAATCAAATAGGGCAGGTGGCTGGGGAAATCATTGTCAAACACGTGTACTAAGTATAGGTATACAAATATCTAAAGGCAACTAGGAACAGGGAAACTCGCCAATCACATGTGAAGTCAAATCGAGCAGATTGATGGGGAAATCTTGGTCGGACAACAGTGTACTAAGAGATCTGAGTCCCAACTATAATCGAAATTCATTTCAAGGAAATTTCCCTCATATCCATATTGTGATACAAAAGTACGACTTACATTATTTGATTATAGGTACCATAGAGATCTGTGCTAAAATAGGTTTCCAACTCCTATACCCATTATTCCAATTTCTAATTTATATAAGCAACTGACGGCATAATTGCACTTAGTCCAAAGAAGAAGTGAATGAACACAACTATCTTATCACTGTACTTGAAAAGATTATCCATAGTGCAAACTGTAATAATCGCAAAAGAAACTGCAAACTGCAGAGGAAATCAAACTACCAGAAGAAAAAAAAACCCCCACATAAAATTGTTAGGGATGACAAGCACTGAAAAGTCCAACGTTATATTTTCTACTCTTATTTAAATAGAACTTGATCTAGATTGCCACCAACGCAACATAACGTATCAATAGACCATCTCATGATCTAACCTAACCCACAATACCTACGGTACATTAAGACTACATTGCTTTATCAATCAAAGGAGACACTTCCTTTCTTGCAAGTTGATCAATGTTGAGACTCGATCATTGTTCAACATGCAAATACTAGAGCCATGCAACAATAGTTAGACTTCTATCCTACAAAGCCAAATAACTGAAAGTTTGAAGTATATTTCAAAAATACTCCAACAAAAACAAGAGCATGCAATGGTGGCAATAATTATTTACATAATAAATTTATAATATAAAAATATCATTAAAAAAATGGGGTTACATTGATTGAATTCTTGCTGAGACTTCTTCATAAATTAAACAAAAATACAAAAGAACAAAGAACCAACCTGCAAATCATATGCAATAAACCATGAGAGATGGAATATCCCATCTTCCAGCCCCATCATATAAAGACCTCTTATCTTCTGTTCCTGAAACATTATGAATAAAAAACAAGTTGTAGTCAGGAACATAAAGGATGACAAACAAATTACTCTCGTCCAAAACATTAACCAAGAAAAAATAAACATAGAGAAATAAACAGAAACCATGAGGTGAATAAGGTAAATCTTGAGCTTTATTTCAAGTAAAATATAATAACAGGTAGCAAACCTTCTCAAACACAGAATAGCTGATCAACCGAGAAATTGGGTAGAGAAATCCCAAAAGATGCCTGCTCATCCAAGTTCCAAAACAACCAAACAGAAAATGTCAATATATTAATGCTAAGAAATATTGAATGTGATACAGAAATAGAAAAGCAAAAGAAAAAAACAGAAATAAAAAATTCAAGAGATACATACAGTACACACATGACACTTTTTATGATGGACTGGAACTCATCATCAGTGTATTCACCAGTTGGAAATGGGACTATTCGAATGTTTGACGGACCATAACTCGTCCATGGCACTTTAAGAGAGGAAGGTTCGCCAGAGGGCAAAGATGAAGGAAGTTCTATATTTTTTCTTGAGCAGACCTCCGACACCTATTCTCCAATTCAATAACCTGCAAAGTAAAAATATGAACGTAAAATAACAGGAAACTATGGCGCATGATTGAGCATGATTGCACATAAAATACAGACAGCACACACGCACAAGCATGCATATACACAGATTCCTTCTGTATATCTAACAGAACCTCCATTCAACATTTGCATCAACCACGTGGTAGTTACGGGTTTAAACATATAGGCAGTTTAAAAAATAGTAATCAAGAAAAAGCATAATTTTTTTTATGAGGGAAAAGAATATACCTTGTCATAGAGGCGTTGGGCACGCTCCCTTGATGAAGGAGCTGACATTTTATCCATATGTGTAACCATTAGCCATCAAGTATGCTTGATTAACCAAAAACGGCATTGAATCTGCAGAAAATTAAAAACCCCTCATCAGGATGAACAAGTAATTAACCAGATATTGTTTCTCAATAATAAAAAAAAAGGCAGTCAAGGAAAGGATGAAGAACA